ATATTAGTTATAATTTTTTTTAAATATAATAATAATTCCACCTTCTAAGTAGAGAAAAATATTAAATTAAACAAATTAAAAGTTATTAAAAAATTTATGTATACGATAACACATTTCATGTTCTGATTGGAGGATTAAATTTATTAAATTAAATTTTCAATAAGACTAATTTATAAATATGTAAGTCTTGAAGATTAAATATGTAATTATACTAATTTATTAACTTATGCATCAATATTTTCGTTAAATATTGATATGAGATGACTAGATTGATAACATTTAAATAATTAACTGATAAAATTAATAGATCGATAATCAAAATCAAAAATACTCGAAACTTGATAATTCTTACATTATAATCGAAACATTTTACATAATATATTATTAATTTATAATAATAATAAAAATAAAGTATTTATTATAAAACAAAATACGTGTCTGCTGAGTTGGCAAAGGCGCGTCCCCGGGGACGCGCCTTCCACACGTGGCATCCAACTCAGCGAAAAACACGGGTAAAGCGCGCCCCCAGGGACGCGCCTTTTCCAACTCAGCAGAAAGGGTGCTACTTCTGGAAATATTGGTCAAACGGTGTCAGAAAAGTAAAATTAAAAGCAAACGGTGTCAGTTATGTAATTTAGCCTAAATTTCTTAAGGGTTTGGGATTGTAATTATTATGCACGTTCAATTATTGAGATCGTCCTACGTAATTTGGTGATTTCGATTGTTTCTATAAAACCACACGCTTCACGTTTTCAAGCGTATAGAATTAAAGAAATAGAAACCAAAAAATAAAATAAAAGAATATATATGCATATATGAATATATGAATATTATTTAATGGATGTGTACCATAGGAACCTTGCACATTTCTCATATTGTGTTATTTGTCATAGATGATTAAAGATATGGACAAATGCAGAATCTGATGTTAAAAAATGGATTTTTAAATTTTAAAAAAAATAAATTTATAGAATTCTAAGAAATAAAAATAAATTATTAGTAAAAAATATAAAAACTATTTAAAATTTATAATAATTTTAAATTTTTAAGAGACGATTGTCCATAACCCATCGGTTCATCCCTAATTTTTAAGAGAGAACTATAGATGGACCGAAGAGTGACCATCACAAGTTGTATGCCACCCCGAACTTAGCCCGCCCCGAGTACCCACTGGATCCACTTCAATGTCAAACATAAAATTACATAATCTACAAACTCTTTCCATACGCGTTGACTACAATTTTGTCTCCATGAAAAAGACAATAGAGGAATTAGCATCTCTCAACACTCGTCGGAGATGACGAACCACTTGGGGTATCCCTAAACCCTGAACATTCCAACTCAAGAGTTTCATTACTCCCGACAGGCCTGAGGCAACAGGCCTGCCAATGTAACATTACTTCCACCACCATTCTCATCACTCTTCTCCACTGGCCCAACAATACTTCTCAGCCTTTTTGTTGTTTCTTGTTTTGCAATCACGACATCTTCCTCGGCCAATGTCATAATCACATCCATCGCACCTCAGTGTAAAGTAGATTGAGCAAACCCAGGATTTCATTCTAAAGCTCATTTCGTCGCATTTTTTAGGACCCGACACAGTAGCATCCTTATTTTTTCCAGAAAAATCCTCATCCATGGACTCATCTTGTAACCAAGGAGCTGAGACCAGCCCCTCCTACGTAGCAGCGCTCAAAGGGAGACATCACATTGTAGGAAATCCTCTTGTTTATCCTGCAGCACACATAAAGAACGAAAACCCTCCCCGTGTCCTAGTTTCCCACAGAGAAAACAAAATAATCGTAACTTTTTATATTGAAAAATAGTATAAACTGATTTACCGTTCGGCAAATCAAGGTGTTTCTTCCTCCGCAATGGCTTCCGAACATCCAAACCAACACAAAATCGGAGACTCCCTCTCTATACGCCAGCGTTGTTGTATTGAACAAAATCACCAATGAAATTTCTCAATTGTTGAGCAACTTGTGCCGAGATAAAACCCACTGGTAAGTCGTTTGCCAAGACCTAAAAGTTTACCTTATTCAAGTCAACACTCATAGGATTCTCTCCCTGCGCCAGAGAATGTAAAACCAAGAGGTGAGAATTAAAATACCAGGGACCCTCAGACATTATCCTACATCGATCTGATGACACATACGAAATAAATATCTCCCCTCCCCTAATTTTGTAATAGAGATCCCACCAATTGGATGCCAGACGTTCGATAAAGTAACCCTCATCACATGAAAATTAATCTCGTTAGTCGTAATAAATTGACTGACCAAGCAATTCTCAAGCTTGTGGTTGACTTAAAGTAATAGCTTCTTCCTCTTCCTCCCAAAATTCAACTCCTCAAGTTCTAGCTCTAAATCACCCATGATTTTAACAGACAGACAAAACCAAAACTCAAACTACTAAAACTAGAGACTGAGATAACTCAAAAAACGTGTTAAAGCGATAAATGATGGCCTGCCAGAAAGCAGAGAAAAAACTCTAGCACAGAGAGTTAGGGCGATAATACCGAAAAATCACCCTGACGCGCATTATTTATATGTCAGACATCCTTTTATTTTTATTTATCGATCTAACACCTTTTGTAGGAAGGCGCGCCCCATGCACCGCGCCTTACACTGATCTGGCGCTATGTGGGGTAAGGCGCGGCCTATGAACCGCTCCTTATGCTGACATGGCGACACGTTGGATAAGGTGCGGTGCATGGGTCGCTCCTTCTGCCACGTAGGGATATAGCGCGGTGCATAGGTTGCGACTTCCTTCAATTATTATATGCCCCATGATGGCGCGGTGCATGGCCGCGCCTAACATAATTGCATCTGCACTTCTCGGGTTTAAAGCATCTCCTCTCTGTTATAAATATCCCTCTCCCCCGTAAACTCTCTCAAAACTCCCTCTAAACCGAGAAACTAATATAATAATCCTCTTAACCAGTAAAAAACACTCGACAATCCTCTTATATTTGATTCAGAATTTCGTTCGAACTTTCGTAATAAGGTAATTTTTATAATATTTTTTATAATTATATATGATTATTTGAAAAAAATATTGTATTAATTGTTTTCAATTAATTTTTGTGGCTGTAAAATTGGAAAGCGGGAGCATACGTCGAAATATTTTTACCAATACAGTAATAATATAAAATTATATTATTTAAATTATTTACGCTTATGTGTAAAAAATTTATGTGTGAAAATTTTAATTCATATATTATTTATTTAATTAGGTTTGTTTCAGGTTTTTTTACAGATATAATATTGTCGCACTTTCAAACTCTAAGAATGGCGCGAATTTCAGCTATTGTTTATTATGATGAAGAAATTTGGGAAGATGAAATTGGCATTGTTTTCGTATTAAATCATTATGTTAAAATATCCTTCAAGAGAAACATATCTCTTGAGGAACTGATAACAAAGATTTCAAGGAAGGTTCATGTTGGAAGTACTAGAAGAATGACATCGCTGCAGTACAGATTTCCAACATCTTTGTTATCATTAACTTATACAACGTTCGAACTATCGAACAATGATGATGTTGAAATGATGGTTGATTTTTAAAGTAATTATTCATACGCCGATACAGAGATGTATGCAAAGTTTATTGAAGTGCGTGATGTTCGGGATCTGTCAATAAGCTCCCACTATGGGTTAGCTGAACAAGTTGACAGGCCGACTACAGTAATGTGTAATGATTTTAATGCCATAATGGAAAATCCACATCATGTTGTCGTCTCGTCAACTTCAATGGGGAGACATTCATCAGCAACTCCTTACTATCTGTACCGAGGTATGTCCACGAACAATCCGTATAGCAACATCGCGTCCAGTTCAAGGGGAAGGCATTCATCTGCAAATTTCTTTGATCTTAATATGGAGACGCCCTCGACGCAATAATCTGTGTAGTTTCCATTTGACACGATGGCTTCAAGCTCCAGGGGGAGGCATTCGACAACGAGCTTTTTTTTATCTCAATGTCGATATACCTTCTAGTTCAAGGGGAAGTCATGCAAGTAGTAGGTTCTTCGACCTAAATGTGGAGAGCATGAAGGAACCATCATCTCCACCAGAAGAACCGCTTCGTGAGCCAGGTGCGGATGGTACTGCGACCAGACTATTCATTCACCCAGAATCACCGCAATTCAACTCTGATGCCGATGATGATGATGATGATGTAGATGAAGTTCCCTCAAATGTGGCACAAACTAACCCTCCAACACACATGTTTGAAGCTGATTATGGTGCAATATACGGGCCAGAATTTATAGATATGCCTAATCTCGGTGACTATGGATTTTACTCATCAATAAATAATGGTGAGTTACATTTAGGCTTGAAGTTTTCAAGCAAAGAAGAAGCGATGATGGCTATAAAAAATTACAATATATGTAATTATGTTCAATCCAGAGTCGCCCGCTCTACGACAGAAAAATATGTATGCCATTGTGCCTACGTGAAAATGGATGCAATTAGATGGTTCGCGAATCGAAGAGGAAGAGGAAGATGAAAAACAATATATGAGAACTAACGGTATACAACAGTCCTCACATATGTTGTGTTGGAGAGATCAACCAAGATCATCCCAACTTAGACTCTGAAGTGATATGTCAAGCCATCATGCCCATGGCAAAAGCAAGCTCGCATATAACTATTGTTGTGTTGATTTCAGCTATACAATCGTACTATGGGTATTTCGTCTCATACAGAAAAGCATGGAAGGCAAAGCAGAATGCCATTAAAAAACTTCACAGCGAATGGGATGCATCTTACAACGAACTTCCAAGTTGGTTTAGGCTGGTGCGGAGGTTGAATCCTGGGATAATTGTGGACTTCGAAACCTCCCATGCATACCATAATGATCGAGTTCTTAACGATCAATGCCAATTCTACATGGTTTTTTGGACTTACCCACAGTGCATTAATGATGTCAAATATTGCAAGCATGTGGTCTAGATCGACGGAACTTTCTTGTATGGAAAATATAAGCAAGTTTTAATATTGGTAGTTGTCCAAGATGATAATCGCAACATTCTTCCAGTTGCTTTTGCTCTTGTTGAAGGAGAAGATACAGATTCTTGGGCTTTTTTCCTTCGAAACTTACGTTCACATATTATCACGAGGAAAAAAATCTGTGTTATTTCAGATAGCGGAGCTGAGATCAAAGCATCAATGGAGTTTTTGGGTCCATTATGGCAGCCACCATTTATCCAATATAGGTATTGTATCCAATACATTGCTGCGAACTACCATGGAAGGTTCAAGAAGAATGATTAGCGCCAATTACTTGTGTGCATGGGTAAGCGAAACTACCCTTTTTCTTTTGATCATTTTAATTTTTTAAACAAACAAAGTTAGTAAGGTCTACATTTTATGATCAGGTTACGAACTACTACCTCAAACATTTGAATCCATGCTTCAAGATTTACGGGCGAAGAACGAGGAAGGATACGATTACATCAGCCTCATCGATAAAGAAATGTGGACAAACGCATATGATGGTGGATATCGATATGGACACATGACGACCAACTTGGTTGAGGCAATCAATTCGACCTTAAAGAGTTCACATCACTTACCTGTAGCAGCTTTGGTAAAAACTACATATTTTCGTTTGAGGACGCTTTTTGTGAAGCTCGGGGGAAAAACTCAAACCTGGATGCAAGGCGGTCATGTCTATCACCCTAGATTAGTTTCAGATCTACAAAAAAATTGATGCATCAAATGGAATGTCTGTAACAAGCTTCTCTAGAACGCATGAATTGTTTCGTGTCACAGAGTTGTCGCGACCTCTTCAAGGGATTAAAGTTGTGTCGTTAAGAGTAAATCTACGAGACAGATGGTGTGACTGCGGGTTTTTTCAAGCTCTGAAGTATCCATGCTCTCATGTGATAGCATCTTGCTCGCATACCCGTCAAGACTATAACCGTTTTGTGGATCCCGTATATACCTACTATCAGAAGTGTTTAAGGTATACGAATTTGAGTTCCCCCCATATGTAATGACAAAGACCCTAATGAGGTTCAGAATTGAGTTCTGATTGTACCAGATCCGACTTTATTGAGGGACCGTAGTCGTCCAAAATCTACTCGAATTCATTATGATATAGATATTCGAGAAAAATCTAGATACGACAAAAAATGTGGGCATTGTAGAAACTCATGACACACTAGAAGAACATGTTCATTTCTGTTGTCATCAAGTAACCATTGATGAGGAACTGATGTAGTTGTTGTTTATCAAATAATAATTCTTATAGTTTAATTTACATTTATTTAAAGTTAATGGCATTCGATAATTGCTGATGAAGATTAAAAAAATGATACAAGAAAACGAGATTCGACGTTGGTGTTATATGTGCTTATAATAAAAGAGATAATAAGTGACAAACTTAAGAAAGTTATCGAACACAATTATTAAATTTTATCAAACTAATAGCAATTTGGTATTTGAATATAATTTTAAATACAACAAACTTACAATAAGTATTAAATGGTAAATAATAAACAAATTACAATAACTGATATTAAATGGTAATAAACAAAATTAACAAAATTAACAAAATAAATTAACAAAAATTCCAACAAAATTAACAAAATAAATTAAGTATTAAATGATAAATAATAATAAAAATTTAAAAAAGTCCAATAAACAACTAAATACAAATATAATAAAATATCAAAATCTATCGATGTCTGCGGTGCGAATGTGTTTCGCAGGGCGGTGGCTGTCTGTCTCAAGGAGGATTTCTTTGTATAACTGGTTCTGACTCCTCACTGTCATCATCATCACCATCATCATCATCATCATCGTCGTCGTCGTCATCATCTTCGTCAGGAGTAGATACATTTTGTTGATGAGGAACTAATGACGATGTAGAACCTCCATAGAATAAGGACCCTGGAAGTGTATGACTGACTATCCCACCGCTCATAAAAAATTGGGAAAACTCAGAAAACACATACATTAATGGGTGTGAAAACTGTACAAGAGGTGTTTGTACGGTGTTCATCGGTGATGAGGTTGTACCCGCCAAATAACCAGTATATGAACCCCAAGTCGGATCTACAAACATAGACCCATAATATCCTCCAGGAGGGGTCATATAACTCTTTGACGGTGGTGGCGACGACATCTGGTAAGGGAAAGGTAGTGGCGACATCAGATATGGCTGCGGGGTGTACGTCGCTGCAGACGGTGGTTGTTGTGAAGGTTTCGGTGGTGCACCTGACGACGAACCGAAAGCACTTGCTCTCCGACCACGAGTCGGGGGATGATGGGGTTGTGACGGTGCACGTCTCTATCGACATCGATTAATGCTCCATCCTCGTGCATCCTCGAAAAACAGAAACAGTTTCCCGTTACTGTTGAACCGCTCATAATAATCATCTGCAACCATCAAGTGGTCAATATAAATGGGCTCTCTATAGGGAAGGCACCGATGTCGATCCTCTCATATCATGACCCACTCATAATACTTAACCAGTCAATCTGTATCCGCCTTGCCGCGTCTATTTCTGTTATGCAACTGCTCCATATTGCGAGGTGCTTCCGGAATTGGTTGTACAAAACCAAATTGTCGGAGCACGAGATCAGTGGGTTGCCACTCGATAATCGCATAACAGATCAGAGGGACCTCCGCCATCCAAACATCTGATGGGCCTCTCAACTCAGGTGGGATGCACATCCTCATATTATCATTAGAATATATAACGTATTCAAACTAAAACAAATATATATAATTCTTATCAAAATAATAATCTAATTATATAACTATAATACAAAATCGATTTTTAAACATTAAAATGCATACCTCTGTGCCATCCTTCTGATCGATTAGCAGCCTGATTATTTCTAATTCATTAGGTAGATCCCGATGATTTTTCCTGTCAATAGACCACCTATTCAAGGAAAAAAAATTATTATACACTGGATAAAATGATTAATAACGAAATCAATTTTGTAATTACCTCAATAGTAGCGGAAATACGAATGGGTTCTTCACAACAGGACATGCCCAAGACTGCAACAGAAGGAGACATCTGCCGATAGTATTTTTCCTGTAGTCAGTCGCTCGACACATCTCCCTATATAGAAATGCCAAAACTATCGAGCCCCAACTCAGTGATCCGGCCAGATGAAAGTCGCCAAGATGTCGCAACCACATACAGTGAACTTGGTTACGCAATTTATCCGGCATCAGCAACCCTCCTATCAGCTGCAGTATGCATGTTCGTGCATACATTTTAACTTAATCCTCTGAGGCGTCCTCACTCAAATTCCAAAAATTTGCATCTAACCAATTTAATGGTATCCAACCACCGTTAAAATTTCGCGGGACACCTCCTAAATAATCTTGGCACAAAGTAGTCCAGTTACTGTACGCCATCCCTGAAATCACATCTCTATCCACCATATGCCCCAAGTGCATAGAAACATCCTCAAGCGTAATCGTGCACTCTCCTCACGAAAGATTGAATGCGTGAGTCTCCGGCCTCCACCGCTTCAGTAATGCAGAAATCAGGTTTGGTTCTATCTTACAATGGCCTTCATATCCAGCTACGTGATTGAATCCAGCCTCGATTAAATACGGCCAAACATGGGTAGGTATCGTTAACTTAAGGTTCCTAATAAAAGAATCTAATATACGGTCGCTTTCTTAAAATATTAATAATTACAAAAATTAATTTATAAACTAATAATCATGCATTAAATAAATAAATTATTACTAATAATTTAAATTAAATTAAAACGTAAAAATATTATCGTATCAGCCAAATATCGAGATATATGATTTCCATCCAAACGAAGCAGACCGTCTTCCATTTTATAACTGCAAGAAAAATTAATTAAATAAAATATTAAAAAATTTAAATAGTTAAATAAAATACTAACAAAATATTAAATATAATAAAATATACCTTAAAGAGCTATGATAGAATATAAGAGTATTTGAGAGAAGTTGATAGAATTTGGTGTAATGAAAATGATTAAGAATTGATGTATTTATAGGGAGGGAATAGGGGTGTGAATGGGGGGTGGTTACGAAACTAAAGCAAAGGCGCGGCTCATGCACCGCGACTTTCTGACGCGTGTCAGAATTAAAACAAAAACGCGACCCATGCACTGCGCTATACCCCTACATGGCAGAAAACGCGGCCCATGCACCGCGCCTTAGCCAGCATGTCGCCATGTCAGCATAAGGCGTAGTGCATGGGCCGCGTCTTACCCCACGTGGTGCTAGATCAATGTAAGACGCGATGAATAGGGCGCGTCTTCCTGTAAATGATTTTAGATTGGTAAATAAAGATAAAAGGGTGTCTGACAGATAAATAATGTGCGTCAGAGTGAATTTTCGGTGTTATTGCCGAGAGTTATATTGTTTTTTTTTTCTTTTAAAGATTTTAAATTTAAATAATTATTCTTACAAAGTATATATTCTTTAAATAATTTGAAAGTAATGTTTTTTCTCGTCCATCTAAATCTTGTTCTTTATTTTATGTGAGACCTATAAAATAAATGTACCTTTATTTGATCATGTTATAATTAAACATGTTAATGATAAAAAAATATCTTATTTAAATAATTATTTAAACTTTATAATTAAATAAATATTAATTTTTTTAAAAAAAAACTTAATTGATTTTTATTGAAAAATTTATTATTAAATTTTAAAAAAAATTTGTTAATCGCTATTTTTTTTGTTAAATATAAGTGAATACAAGGTAATATATGTTTAAATATACAATCGTCCATTTGATAATGAATACTTGTAATCCTGCATGTATGATGCTCGAACTCATAACTTAAAGTGATAACATCAAGTCCCTTAACTACTGAGATTACTTGGTTGTGAAAAAAAAATAACAATTAACTCAATTAACACTATAATTTTAAAAAAATGTACCTAATCATCATTCAATTCAATTAACACTATATTGTATTTAAAAATTTACTTAATTATCATTCAATTCGATAGAAATCAAATTATTATATAACCCATACAATTAGCAATGTTTCTACTGTTTTGTTTGTATCGATTAAATAAATTAAAATAAATTCATATAAAAATATCTTCATTTGGATCTTTTTGGATGCAAAATAATTGACTTCTTTAAACCACAGTTTCACTTATTATTCAATAATTAACATAAAACCCTAAACCCAAGCAAGTTGTCTGGGTGTGTAGTTGTTTATCACATTAGTTTCACACGCTTAGAGGTCCCCCGTTCGAACCCGGCCTTAGCATTATATTTTATTTTACATTGGCTTTTGCATTCATCTCGGAAACGAAACACAATTCCGTAGCTCTTAAGCAATCTTAATTTTGAAACCCCATGGCCATTTGTTACTTCTTATGTTCAAAGCAAAAACTCTCTAAAGAAACACTTCCAAACAATCTGTAAGCTTCCCATAAAAATAACTTCATTTAGAGGCTCGAACATAATCAAATCCAATGGATTGGGGAAACGTAACCGCAGAGGATCTGATTTATGCGCTTCGTGAAGTTGATTGGTCATCTCCGCCGCGTCCTCTCCCGGAGTTCTTCTCTCGTTTCACCGTCCCTCGATCTTACGCCAAATGGAATAGCCGCCTTAAATGCAATCTCTACTAGTAATTTTTTTCCTTTAATCTTTTATGTTATTTACTTCCTTTATTCGAGTTTTTTTTGGGTAATTTCTTTAATTCGAATTTGAATCTCAACCGGAGCTGTTTGTAATTCCAAGAAGAGAAAAATAAAGAAAAATTGTTGTAGAAAATGATGATTATTGAATATTGATGTTGAATGTGCTTTTACGAATACTGTATCAAATACTTTATTTCTGTTAGTTTTTTGCTTTAATTTTATGTTCTTCTTTCGCTTTGCAGCTATCGGACCAATTATTTCATCCTGATTGTTGTCATTCTTGGTAAGTAGATAAAATCAACGGTGGCGCTCTAGTTTATTTTTAGTACATGTATATTTATTTATACATATATGTATTGCGTTATTTATTTATTTTGTAGGTTTAGGATTCCTGAGGAGACCGGTTGCCATTTTAGCTGCGATCTTAACAGCGCTCAGCATTGCTTTTCTGAATGATAGGTAGGCAATGTTAGACCTTAACCCTTTGTTTACTGTTCTGAATTTCAATCCAGTGACGTTATTTTGAATGTTACCTTGGAAATGGATGTCTGAGCCCTAGCATTTAAGGTTGAGATATGGTTAGATTTAGCTCTTGACTCATGTCTTTAACAATTTGTTTATTATTTTACAGCTTTGCTGGTACTTTTAGTGAGAAGGTGACTAGAACTGTGAGGCAATTCTCTCCACATTTAGCTGCTAAGATGAGGCCCCCTCTAACGTAAGTTTTGATTACTTTGCAGACTATATATTCTTGATTTGGTTATTAACTTTTTCATTATTGTCAGACCTGTTTCGTGGTCGTCCTAAAAGAACAATTCACATATGTGGTCGACCTCGTTGGGTCTTTGTCTTCGTATTCTCATCTGGTATCAATATCTTTTGGAAATTTTCTTTCTTAAGAAGTCAGAACAATTCTGTTTGCAATCCAATGTAGTGTATAAAGCAACTAATTTTACCACTTGTTGCAGTGAGTTTCATCCTTTGGTATGTATCCTGCGGTCTACTGACTGTATTCTGGGCACTTGGCATTGCACTGCTTGGTCAGTGATCTTCTCTCTTTTTTCTCATTTACCCCCTTGAGATGTCATTTTTTCTTCTAATTCTTTCTCTTGCTCTCTTTCTCAGCCACCATCCTTCATGCAAGTTTTAGAACACCTAACCTGAAGGCTCGTCTTACTACTTTCCGTGAGGAATTTCGTGCAGTTTGGCGCAATTACAGTGAGCTGTAGATCATACAGTCTATAGCATGTAAACTGATCTACATCCAATGTTATTTTTGTTGACGGAATTCACCGTTGATTAAACTGACATTGTTTTTGGAATATTCCGTATATTTTGATGCTATTCTTATGTATTTCATGATTGTGATTTTCTACTCCACTGTAATGGTATGTGCAGTAGCATATCGGTATCTTTGATTTGTTTGTTTTCTGTAGTCCACAGTTAGCCTTATGTTTGAAAACCTTCTCTATAAGGTGATACTAGTTACTGTGTATATATAATTAGCATTTAGTGTTTTATTTCCATCAGATTATGATAAATCTACTATTTAAATCACGTGTTTTACTCTGGGATTAAATGGTTGTTGATAAAATAATTTGGCTTCTCAAATGTTCATGGAAGGGATACTCAGATAAGTTACTTTTAGCTTCTGCTGATCTTTGAGTCAATTCCTCAGAGAAAGAATGACTCGAGGAAACAAAAAAACACTCATATGATTGAATAGATTATGGAATAGAGATATTCAGATGAGTTCTCTTTAGCCGTTGCTGACTGTTTTTACTCAAATAGCCCTCCTTTGAGAAGAAAAAAGTAAGTGCAGAATTTTCAGGAGCAATTAGCTATCTTATAGTTGTGCTGGGCAAGGTCAGCTGGTAACGTCTTTTAGATATACTTGATTCTTAGTTGCCTGTTGTTGTTCATTAAGTGTGAATTTATTGCTAAGATGGTATAAAACCTCGTGCCTTTGGAAAGAATGTTTGTTGTGAATGATTTTATGTTGATGCATTAATTTCCATCCCTGCTTATTTGCTCCCCTCCGTAGGAAAAATTTATTAGATGAACCTGGTTCACCACGTTATCCATGGTGGGTCGGGTCCATCAAATAATTTCTCCCTCCGTAGGGTTCCGATATATATAAACCATATTTTATAATCATAAGGATACTGAACTATGCTTGTGAATCGAAACTGTAGTGAGGCCTGTAGTAAGGATGAGCATTTGATCCGAACCTAGGTTCCGGGCCTATCCTATTAATTTCCCTATTTTCTTTGCTATACAAAGCCCTTGTATATGATCACTATTAATTGGCATTTCGGTGCTTACCTGCAAACCCTGTTCCAGCTTTTGGTGCTTGCAGGGATTCATGGTTTCGGTTTATTTGCTTTTAAATTCAAGCCATATATGACAATCACCATGTTTCATTATCAGAAAAGAAAATGATTTTAATCAACGGTGAAGGTTTATTTACTAAATGGTTTAAACATGTAGTGTAACATTTTTCATTAAATATTTAATATTGTTGTATTTTTAAGATTGTAAAGTTAAAATTTTAATTAAATTAAAACAATCTCATATCAATTGCTTCAAATATTCGATAATAATTATATCCTTTTTGAATATGTATACTCCCTCATTTCTTGCCGCTACTATTAGTGAAAGATAATTTGGTTAAGTTCTCCATTCTTCACGAAGTTTATTTTGGCTACTTTTTTTCTTAGAACAAACCCTGTAACTCAAATTGTGGAGTGAAATATGATTCTTTTTCTCTATTGCTTGGTATATTTGAAAAAGAAGGAAGAAAATAAAAAATATATATACAAATTTCATTACTATACTCTTATGTAATATTTATTAAAATAAAATAAAACTTTAAAAGATATTGAACAATCCTAAATTAATTATATCCTAGTATTGGATAAGCATATTAAATAAAATGTTATATCAAAATACATAAAAAAAATAAACAAACAAATAAATAAATACATCAAAAAATAAACAAATAAAAAAAGAGAGCAGTTGTGTCATTAGAGTATGTATGCATTGTGAATTGGTTAAAAAAATGTTTTGAACAATTACCTTGTCATCATTTAGTGGTTAAAAAAACTGAAAAAATAAAAGGGTAAACTACTTAATAGGTCACTAATTTTTGAGTAAATTTCTCTTTTCCTCACTAATATTTTAAAAATAACGTTTTAATCACTAATGTTATCAATTTATAGTAAATTCATCGCTCAACCTTTAACCACCGTTGCTGTTACTGGATTAACGGAATGCTGATGTTTGCAGTATGTTCTCACAGTCACCTTTGTTAACGATTCTTTCATGTCCATACCTGTTATAGCAGAGAGGCATGCATCTTTCCGTCAAAAATCATGATCAGACCTGTTAACTTCACTGGACACCACGTTCACTTGTGGCTTTTATCTTGTTGGTGAGAATGCTTACTGCTTTTCAATTTGGTTTATAAACTCTCAAGGAGAAAACAGTTGTTTGGATGGCGAATTATGACAAACCCGTCAATGCCAAAGGCTCCAGATTTGTCTGCGGCGAGAAGACGGTGCCTTTGTCTTGACCGATATCGATGGCTCCCCTGTATGGCAGACCAACACCAGCTCCGCTGCTGTTCAAAAGGCAGAGAAATCCTGTTCTTAACAACTCTTCTGGCAAAATACATCATTCTCAACGCCATTGTTGTTACGTGCAGCTCAAGAATGAGTAGGAGTGTAAATGAACCGAGCTTGAACGAATAAGGTTATGTTCATGTTCGTTTATTTATTTTTGAAGGTGTTTGTGTTCAGTTCGTGTTCGTTTAAATTTTCAATATCATGTTTATTTTCTTTTATTTATTTTGAAGGTGTTCATGTTCGTTTATTTATTGTTCACAAACAGCTTCATTTAATGTTTGCGAACATGTTCGTTTATATGTTTATGAACGTGTTCATGAATGTGTTCATTTAGCGTTCGTTTAATGATCACGAACGTGTTCGTTTAATATTCACGAATGTGTTTATAAATATGTTCGTTTAGCGTTCATATAGTGTTCGTTTAGCGTTGCTTTAATGTTTGTTTATCGTTTGTTTATATATTATATTTTTAATTTCATTTGCAAGCTAAAGAAAAATGATAAAATTATGTCACTCGTGCTTAAACTCCTTAAAATTCATAGTTTAAAATGCAATTTTATCATGTGTTCTATTTAATCCTTATCTTCACCAATATTTAAAATGTAAAAAAAATAAAATGAAAAGGAGAATCGGGTAAACGAGTTTGTTCATGAACATAAATGAACGAGTTGATAAACGAGCTCATAAATGAACGAGTTGATAAACGAACTCATAAATGAGCTTGTTCATGAACATAAATGAACTGAACACACCTCTATTCATGTTTGTTCGTTTATTAAATGAACATAATTTGTTTTTGTTCATATTCGTTTATTTAACTTAACAAACGCACATAAAAGAACGTTATACGAAAATTCACGAACAGTTTACTGAACGCTCTGTTCATTTACACCCTTAAGAATGAACACCAAGGAGAAATATTGGCACAATTGATGCATGAATCGCCTTAGAATGAGGGCATATAAGCAACATAAGTAGACTCCCTTGAAATCCTCTTTGCTGTGACAAATTTTTTGTATTGCCAGTGAGGAAGAGGTAATCTGCAACCCAAGGACCAGATGCAACGAGTCGACAAGCATGTCGATCCGGACCTCAGGATGCAGATTACCCGGTCCTTACAGATATGAAATGGAAACAAATCATTTGTTGAAGCAATAGCTAAGGAAGTTGAGGGGAAACACAAGGGGTTGAGGCCCTCATGGATGAAAACACAGATTTATAGTGGCTCCCAAAGCCAACAAGGAGAATTAGTCCATAAATTGGGGACTATAATTGTTAAAGAATAAAGGGAGATAAGGTTCTCCAACAGCAATCAACGTCGATTCTGTTCTTCTCGAACCAATGATAGCCTTACTTTCCATAGACAATGATGGTATGATGATCTTGACTGCTTTTTCATCATGACTAGATATCTTCCCTGCCTACTTGTTCAAAAACAATCCTTTCCCAAGACATATCACTATGGAACAAGAAGGCTTGTATCTATTAGGAAGCACTCAATAGATAGAAGCCTTTTTTTTTTTTTTATCTCTGCAAATATGCTGAAAGATAGTAAGCATCTTCAAACCTGATAATAAATTCCATGGTTGCTTTCCACCTGCATGCTTCTTATGCTTACAACTTCACCCAACACTTGCTGCAATGTGATGTCACTGTGTATGACATCTAGTGGTCCTCCTTGTTCATGCCTACCCTCCAATCAAGCACCAGCAAAATAGAATCAAACCAACGCCTTCTATTGTTGAGAAATTTTGAAGTAGTATTCAAGAGAAATGATAGTTTCACTTTTTTTAGAAGTTGTAAATAGAGGTGTAAATGTACAGAACGTTCGATGAATTGTTCGTATAAAGTTTGTTTATTAAGTTAAATAAACGAGTATGAATTTTTTTTATGTTCATTTAATAAACGAACGAACACGAACAAAGTTGTGTTTGATTCATTTATATTCATGAACAAGCTCGTTTGTAAGTTTGTTTATCAACTCATTTATTAGCTCGCTTACCCAATTCTCCTTTTCCTTTTAATTTTTTGCATTTCAAATAATGTTAAAGATATGGACTAAATTGAACATAAGGTAAACTTTAGAATTCAAACTGTAAAACCCCAAGTAACTTAAAGATTAATAGCGTAATTTTATCATTTTTCTTTGGCTTGCAAATAAAAAGATAAAAGAAGTGTGTTTGCTGATAAACATTAAACGAATATGTTCACAAATGCTAAACAAACGAACACCTTCAAAAATAAATAAATGAACACAATACTGATAAATTAAACGAACATGAAGCGAACATTAATACTTTCAAAATTAATCAAATGAACACGAACATAACTTTGTTCGTTCAAGTCAATTCAATCACACCCATAGTTGTAAAATTTTATTTCCGATCTCCAAAAGCTACATGTAGAGTAACATACAAAACTGTGATGATGACATGATCATGAACAAATTGACAATTGTGTCTGAATGTTAAGGCCTAAGTGTATTGGGACTAAATACTGGATAAAAAAAGGTATATCCATTGCAACAACAGAAAAATTTACCTACAACATTCTATCTTAGCTTGGCTGCTTTTAGATTCTACCCTGTTCTTTCAGGTTTTCTCATCATCTGGAGAACTGAATGACTAGAGTGTTAAAGACACAACGTTCATGGAAGAAAAGGGAGTTCAAGATGAAGCTAATAATCGGAACGAACGCTTGATAGAAACATCTTCAATGTCTCATAGGTCATAAAGACGATGCCTACACCAGGAACCACCTTGTAGTACTCGGGCAGAATCCCTCTGTACAAGCCACAAAGGCCTTCAGACTGGATAATATGCCGAAAAGTACCAAGCAATCCAGTTTTATAAACGTGGGCTCGCCCGGCAGCCCCTTCCAATTGCATTCGCCTCCTCACAAGATCAATGGGAAATGTAGCTGCAAATTGTCAGTGAAGAAAAACAAAATCATGCAGAGCTCAGAATTAGCTTCTTACTAATTTGTACCACTTTAGTAATATATATTTTCCCACCAGGCCTTGGGACATAGGACGAAGTAAAATTTTAATATATTCGAACCATTTCCGCCCATTCATAAGGGGTGAATTTAAGATCACCAAGTGCATAATCCCATGTCCTGACCATTGGAGTCTGTCGACTTAGACTATAAGGTATTAAAAACATTCATCATTTAATTCTACATCCATTCAGCTGAGAAAGGGAAAAAAATCATTGCATAACAATACCAAAATGGATAAGAGTCACACCGAAGGGCTAGATTAACCATTAAAGTCTACATCCATTCATGATTACTAACCTGTAGATGATGCGATTCCTGATAAACTGCCACAGGCAAGACTAACCATTATAGTGGAATCATTGGGCCTGATGTAAAATCAAAGAAATTCCAAACAGGTTACGGATTGACCGCATCAACCAGAGACGACCAATATAAAAGGGCACGCACTATTGATCAATCTAAAACAACAAGAATTTTTACCTTTGTAACTGCCAATACGATCTCAAAGATTCATATACCGAAAAGCTTATTGCTATACTCGGTCCAACACCCTTCACCACACAGCATTCCAAGAGCAGTTATAGACAATGAGATGGGAAAATAAAGAATTGAAGATGAAAAGTAACTAACATACCAATAATGTTGCTCCGAGTCCTTTATACAAGCCCAAAAAACCCTCTTCCCTACAAATGGTATGAAAAGCATGCCAAATACCTCTGTAGTATATTGAATTTCTCTGCAAAGTTCACAATAATAGTTTAATTGGAGGGTAAGTGAAAAGAAAAAACAGAAAGATGGTGCGTATCAAATGGGAAACAATCAACCACATGTGAAATCTTGTTCAAAGAGTACACTAATTAAATTGCTTTCTTCACTTGGAAATTACGGCTGGTTACCTGAGCTGCGAGACGTGTTCTTACAAGATCCAGTGGATATGTGGCAGAGGCAGCAGTAATTCCAGCCAACCCACCGCCAACGAAGTGCACAAAGGGGTCAGCACCAACGTTTCCCCTTCGATTCTCCAGACCAAGAATAGATTGCAACATCTGAAAATAAAACAAAAATCATAACAGTGAATGAACATAACACTTTTGGTAAGGAAAAAACAAAGAGATGGTTAGAAAAGGTAAGAACATACACTTTTGTAACGTTCATAGGCATAGAAATTGACTGAAGAATAGGGAAGACGGTGAGCGATTGTAACCAGATTGCCTTTCCAAAATGCTCTGAACCCTTCTTCATTTATAATGCGCGAAGCCTCACGCCATATGCAAGCCTTGCTCAATGCCGTTACGTCCGAGTGCATTCCTTGCACCTTAAATGAAAGTAAACCATCCAGCAGTCATATTAAGGTAGAATGTACACACATGCTCAAAATAACAATAAGCAGTATGAAATTCATGACAAAATATCATTAAAAAACAATAAGCCGACATTACTACTCTGTTGTTTCATGCTAAATTGACTAAAGCCTTCATCATTAACACTAATGGAAAAACATTACACAATTTGGATAGAAACAAGAAATTCACCTAGCCAAGCCATCTAAAATATATGAATAATCATTCAAGTTACCATTAAAACCAATAAAATAATCAACATCTCCGATAAACTGAACAAACAAGTTGTAAAGCAGACCTGAAATAAGATGGTGAGACGAGCAAGAGGAGCCGTACAAGTCTTGCTAAAAGCACCAGCAATACCACCAGCAAGAAGCTGTTGAATGGTCCCAATCTGCGGACTCAAACCGTGCTTTGAAGAATGTCCATTTTGCAGTTGCGGCAGTAGAGACTTTCTAGCCCCGGCATCGACGACAGCTCCGTGAGCTGAATTCAAAGCCATTTGTCCTCCTTCAACCACCACCCCAACTCTTGCTTCCATATTCATAATATCTCAAAGTTCTTTCCTTTAGAAAAAAAAAACAGTACTTTGGATCGGGTTCAGGGAATTTGGGTTATGATTTTACATGGGTATTAAGAAGGGAAGATCAAGGGAATGAAAACAGGGGAAGTCATAAGCTGGGTTTTGTGAAGTTTGGAGTAGTAAAAGATAAACCCTAATGATCATGACATCAAGAAAGGGGTTTAAGAAAGACGTTTGGTAGTTTTGTCTTCCGAATATACTTGCGTTGATTCGACGGTACAATAACTCTAATTGTTTTAATAAAAATCTATTTTATACAATTATTATAATTATAAAAGTTGGAGGAATCATAGGCATAATCAAATCTAATGTTTCTTCAATTATTTATTTTTTAATTAGTGTATCTTAATTTGTGTTATTTTGTACCACCAATTTCATTGTTGTTATTTTTAATCCTAAAAATATTATTTTAAAAATTTAGCATATGCCCTAAATTTTGATCTGTTCGAATTTAATCTGTAAATTTAATTTTTTTTCATCCATATTTAAATGATTTAAAGAAAATTCCATCTGATTCGAAATCAGACCTAACTTTTTAAATAAAAAATTGTATGTATATATAATTTTTTTTATTAAGTAAAAATAACAATATAATTAAAAATAAAAATTATTATATTTTTTCTAAATAAAACTTATTAATTTTTCTATTTTAAACTCGGACTTAATATGACCCGAATCTGAATTTTTTACATTTTTTACTCGCGAAAATGAAACTTCACAAAAAATTATATAGTACAGATAAAATGGCAAAGAATTCAACTCAAATGATGGAAACAGTTATAAGGAAGAATGGCCCATTGAAGCACAAGGAATGAACAGCCAGCTTTTACAAATCCACTTTTGGTACGTCCAATTCACTTTAACCAACCAATAAAACATGATAGGATGCCTAACCAACTCCTGAATATCATCAGCACCACCAAACCAACATCTAAAAAACAAAAGCTGCTTTTGATTTGATTTTAAGCTCAGACATCGACCCTCAACATCAATGTTTTTGCAAACAGCAGAGCTGCAGTTGCACTCTGTCTCAACTTCACAGCTTTCACAAATCTAGACACTGGACCACTCTTCTCTGTTTTCTTCACAGCCAACGAATAAGGTTGTGTTAGTATTTATTTGTTAACTTTTTTTAAATGTTCATGTTTGATTTGTGCTAATAAATCGGACTTAAACGAATAAGGTTATATTTTAGAAGGGAACATAGACTTCAATTTGATGTCACAGACTATACAATGTAAAATATGGCAATCACCTTGCATGCTTCTCTGAAACATTTTCCAACCGATGAAATTGTGCAAAAGCTGTCCTGCGATAACATCCCATGCAAAAAGCTGATTATGTGCTTCGAAACCGCCGATAACATACCCCTCACCGCCTAGGCCAAGGCCGAAACGACGAGCTGCACTTACAGGAAACGGTTCGGATAAGCTAATACCATTGTTCTGATGAAGACCTTAATGAGACTCCGTTACTCCCACCTGCCATGCTAACACCGATACCGATATGTCGGTGGCTCGATAACCTGTTGTATGATAAGTATTCACTTCCAAGGGGTATATCGGAAAGTGATTCTCTTCTGGTGCGCTTCGATGGCATATCTTGAGCCCTTTGAGTGGAAGTCGATGGATTTTCAGGTGCGAGAGAGTTCGCCAATGAAGACAGATGATCGATCGACTTGTTCGAACCCTTTTGAGCTTGTTCGAGCATGTGTATTTCTTCCACCATTGGCTTCCAACGCCTTACTCTAGCGTTTATAAAACAATTCAATACCTGGTTTACAACAACAAGCATTCAATGTTAATGTGTGCAAGATGATACTATAAAAGGACGAAAACATGATGATCAATGGCACACCTGGTTACGTATAGACCGGTTTGCTTAGCCAACATGTGCTTGTTCGTGCAAATATTCCCACCCATCAACTTTACAATAACAAGCATTCAAAGCTAATGTGTGCAAGAATCTAATTCACGTAGTATTCGACTCATAGAACTTCCATTTATATAAAGAAATGGCTGAAGAACAGATAATTAGTATGCATGGAACAACACCCACACTACAAAGAAATTTCGATTGTTTCAACAAAATTATTTATTACTAAAAGTACTAAATTTGTCACGATATATTTATTCTGACTAATTTTATTTGTTAACATGTTTGTTAGAACAACCTTATCATGTAAAATATATTGTGACAAAATTGTGTTTGTTACAATTGTATAGTATTTATTGTAACAATGAAATTTCGTTACTATAATTAACTTATCGCAATAAAATATTTGTCACAATCAATTAACTATTTTATCAAGAGAAGTACATTTTGTCATAACTAATTTATATTTAAACATCAAATATAAAGGGATTTTATGATTAAATAAATAAGACAACAAAAATTATTTTGTCAACGTTTCTATTTCGTCATGAAATGTAACTTACAGAGACAAAATATTTATTAAAATAAAATAATTATTTTATCACAAAAAGTGAATTTCGTCACAATTAAGTTAAATTATAACATCAAACAAAAAAAGTTTTTATGACAAAATACATATTATAACAAAATTTATTTTCTCACTACTTTTATTTCGTCACTAAATTTTTTTATAACTTTTTACTGTGACTAAATAATTTTGTTATAATTTATTATTGTGAAAGAATATTTTTTGTCACAATTTTTATAATGAAAAATTAATATTTGTTATAAATTGTTATTTCAATTAAATAAATTTGTTACAATTTTTTTATTTTGACAAAATATTAAGACGAAATAAATTTGATATAACTTTTTACTTTGACTAAATTTATTATGTTATTGTGACTAAATTATGATGAAAAATTAATATTTGTTATAAATTATTATTTTGATTAAATAAATTTGTTAGAATTTTTTATCTGGTTCAGCCCGATTCTATTTCCTTGAACCTTAGACTTCTATTTTATTTATTTATTTATTTTTATTTTTTCAAACACAAAAATCCCAAGACAAAACGGTTAAATTGAGGGTTTTAAAAAATATTTATATAATAAATATATAGAGATGGAGTTATATGGCAAGATGAAACATTCATATTCCACCCTGAACATTTAAGTGGCGTTTGATTCGCTCGAATGTTTATGAGAGAATTGAAATCTGTGAAAAAATTTGAATCTATCAAGAATTGGAATTCAATTTCATATTCTATTTGGTTGGCAGGAAATGAAATTAGAATTCAATTCTATGTTATGTTTGGTTCGCAAACATGTCAGATGAATTTGATTTTAGTAATATAAAATAACAGAATTGCCCTTCTTGTTTTTTTGCTTTATTTTAGTTTATTTTATAACTTACATGTAATAATATATTATAAAAAATTAAAAAATATTAAATTTTCATTTTATTGATTGATTATTCATTTCAATAAATTATAAAAATCATGCTAATAAACATCATAAGTTAAAATCATCGCAATCAAAATATGTTAATAAGTTACCAAAAGATATAGCAATATTTCGATACATTCAAATCGGAATATGTTAATTAGTTACAAAAAAATATACCAAAAACTATTTTTATTTAATATATAAATTAGAAACCCGACAGATATAAAATAATAAAAAAATTATTTTTATTCAATAAAAATATTGACTTAATTGAAAAAATTTATATATAGAGGGGTATTATTGTAATTATTCATAAATCTATAAGGTAAAATTATAAAAGAAAAATTTGAGTCGGTTCGGTTTTTTTCACCCTAAACCCAAACTCAACCCAACTCGAATATCACACTTAAAAAACCCGACCTAACCCGAACAAAATAAAGTTTCACCCGACCCGACCCGAATATATGAATTAGTAATCCGACCCGACCCGAAATAATAAAAAAATATTTTTATTCAATAAAAATAGTGACTTAATTAAAAATATATATATATAGAGAGGGGTATTATTGTAATTATTCATAAATATATAAGGTAAAATTATATATATTTTCGGGTCAGGTATTTTTCACCTTAAACCCAAACTCAACCCGACCCGAATATCACACTTAAAAAAACCGACCCGACCCGGCCAAAATAAAATTTCACCCGACTCGACCCGAATATATGAATTAGAAACCCGACCCGACCCAAAATAATAAAAAAATATTTTATTCAATATATAAATAAGTTACTAAAAGATTGACGAGTATAGTATGGTCAAATTTTAATTCCCTCCAACAAAGGAATTGAATTCCATCTATTCTTGGATGGAATTCACTTTCCCTCATTTGATGGAAAGTTTAAGCCATGAGAGATTCTAATTCCCTTGAAAAACTTGAAACAAACATGAAAAAAAATAATAGAATTAAATTCTAATTTCCCCAATTTTAAAAGATTCCAACCAACCAAACGTCAAGTTAGAAGATTTTACCTTCTGATCACGCATAGGCTGTAGATGAAACAGGTTCCAATATTTCTTGCCTGAAACGTGTAAAGAAAGCTTTAAATAATTAAAGGTCTAGAAAGATAAACTCCTTAAACACTGAAAGACAACAACATTACATTCATGACATGAATCGGGAAAATTGAAGATTATTCCTCATATTTAAGCAATTCCAGGTGTTGGAACTTGAAAAATGTTAATAACCATACCACTCTTGGTGTAGTTAATGAGCTGCACAGTTACTTCTGTCTGGTTATTGATTGTCTCTCGAATATTCCTTACAGTAGCCGGATTAGTTTCAGGGCCTTGTAGAAACCTATAAGGGCTTAACAACCACACAAAATTAAATGAAGTGAATTGCATTATTAGTTCAAAAATATTTGGGCTAAACATCAGCCAAGAAAGGATATGGTTTAAGTTCATTCTTTACCAGTTTTTCAAACCATTTAAGCTATCAGATTATGAGTGGAATTTCTTGTAAAGGCATACCTGCAATTTCTGCCCAGGATTTCCTTACTCTGTCAGCTCCAAGAAGCTATCAGAGGCAAAGATCTGAACATCAAGAGAAGTAGAATCATTTATTTTCTTACAAAGTTAATCTCCAATTTGCATGATCCACCATTAAAAATCATAAAAGCTAGAGTTCAAAAGTCTTACAATGGGATTATCAGGCAACCTGGGATCGGTAATGACAAAGTTTTTCTCTATACGCTCAAGCGTGGTTGCCAAATTAATACCCTTTCTCATTTCCTTTTGTCCAACTTTGTCATCAACACTGTCGGGCCTCTCATCATCATAATCACTTTCGTCCTCATTAGCATCCACCAGTAGGCTATTGTCAAAGCTGTCTGCAGTAGTAGACTGGTTTTTCCTCATAAGCCTGGTATACATCTAAGATGAACGCTTCCATTAAATCCCAAGTTTATTACAGCTATCATAACGAAGATGTTGAGTATAAATTATACGGACCACATGAAAGAAAGACGAATGGATTTTCTGGGTTTCTTCTCAGGCACTTCACTGATACGTTCCATTGAAAGCCGCATACCCCCATTGGAGTTTCTTCTATGAGGAGGCACGTTTTCTGAGTTTCGCCTCGCCATAGCTACACCGCCTTCTTCTTTATCTTCTTCTCCACCACCCGATTAAAAATAAATTTCCCTAAAAATCAGTTTCCCCTAAAACTCAATTTCCTTTAAAAGAAAATAGAGGGAAATTTCCCTCCTAAATTAATTAATTATTTTTAAAAATTATTATTAAGAGCATAGCATTATTTCTTTGATTCATATAATGTTAAAATAATAAAATAAAAATATAACAATAGATTAAATATTAAACAAAATAAGACTCCTGTTAAGCACGATTATTATTATTTATTAGAGTATCTTTATATATCTTCTTAAGAAAATAATAATAATAATAATAATAATAATAAAATAATAATTAAAGCATAGTCTAGAGAACATGATGAGATTTATATAATATTAAAATATAAAATAAATCAAAAATTATAATAATATTAATAGAAATGATAAAAAATCGTATATAAATACTACTAGAATAATATCGAGTCAAAAATGATTTTTAAGTATAGTAGTACGGATAATATTAGAACAATATCGATATTATTCAAGAAGTATCGATATAGATATCGATGTTGAAGCCAAAATAATGAAGTAGTACTGATACTACTAAATCAGTACCGATACTATCAAAATAAAATGCTAAAATGGTACCTATACTATTTACGATATCGATACTACTTAGTATAATAGTATCGATACTGTCAAAACAGAATGCTAAAATGATATCGATACTACTTAATGTAGTAGTACTGATACTCCTAGTGATGGTATCGATACTATCTTTTTTGTTTTGAGTCCGTCAAATTCCAGTATACTAAAATAGTACTGACACTTAGTGTTCATTTGTTTACTTTTTCTCTCAAGCTCCCACCAAATTTTTTAATTGTCAATTCACCTCATTTTTTACTATTTCATCTTTTTGATTGACTTAACAATAATAATTATATTTTATCATTATAATTAAAATGTATAAATACAAACATATTTTTTTCATAAAAAACTAAAATCATTTATTAATTAAAAAATAATTTTTTTGTTATAATTTTTGTTATAATGATTAAAATATATAAGTACAGAAATAATTCATTACAAAAATCTTAAATTGTCAATATAACTTTTGAAACAAAAAAGTGGAGAAAAATAATTATGACAATATATGTTATTACTATAATTAAAATTTATAACTACAAATATAATTTGTCACAAAAACATGAATATTATTATTTTTTACTAAAAACATGAATATCATTATTTGTTGTGACAATTTTTTTTAACAATAATTATAGCTTATAGTTACAAATCATGTCACTATATAATTTTATTTTTTTACTACAAAATGGAGATAATCATTTGTGACTATACATTTTGTCACTATAATTAAAATATATAATCACAAATAAAATTTGTCAGAACAAATCTAAATCTCATTATTTGCTGTAACAATTTTTTCTGTCATAGTTACTAACACTTTTAGTTACAAAATTTGTCATTATATGTCTTTAATTTGGCGCAAAAAAATTGGAGGGAAACATTTGTGACAAAAATTCGTAATAAAATTAATTTTGTCACTATATGTTACATATATTTGCTAATTGTGATAAATTATTATGATGATTTTAGTTTTTATCATAATTGTATATCTTTTTTAATCTAATTCAACGATTATTTATTTTGTCACCAAAAACCTACTATTAATGACAAAATTAATTTTAACAAAATTAAATTTATCACAATACTAAAAATTTCTTGTAGTGCCAATATTACATGTTCAAACACTGACTGAACTTAAAGCCAATTAAAAAAGTGTGACAATTGTTCATTTTAATATTGGGGACGATGACTATGTACAGTTATGGATATGCTTGAAAAACGAGAACAAGAGACAAAAGTTGCAAAATGAAAGGCTGTGATGATCATCAGAAAACATGGCAGAGACGAGAGAGAGAGAGATTTAAACATCTTCCACTTTTGTTCTTATTTCATTACACGAAAAGAAATGAACTCGATGTCATGTATGTCCCTAGCTCTCAAAACTCGAAATCTTTTCTTAAATTTATTTATTTTCTATGCTATCTTCCTCGCTGTGACCGAAAGCCTGGTGATCATAGGGTTTTGATAAACCGGAGGATGACCGGCTATTTGCGGTAATAATTGAACTAACTGTGTGTTGCACATACTTATGACAAGGGTTTTGGATTTTAAGATTTTTTTAAAAATTTATATTATTTTTTATTTAAAAATTTTTGAATAAATTTGATAATATATATAAGGTTAAAATACACAAATGGTTCTCCAACTATAAGATGTTACTTTGTTGAGTCTCTTGATTTTCTAAAGTTATAAAATGATCCTCCTGCTATAGGTGTTACTTTGTTGAGTCCCTTGACTAAATATAAAATGATCGCTCGACTATGCATATGCTCCCAACTCGTCCTTTTCGATTAAAAAATGTACGGGGACGTTAACATCGTTATACCAATATAATAATTAGCGTTTGTAAAATTAACGATTAAATTAACAATTTTGTAATAGGGTGATCAAAATCTAATAGTTGTTGACTACCAAAATAATATATCCTAAACGAAACTAGTTAAAGAGTGGCAATAATCAAATAATAAAACTAACGGCCCGGTTTAAATGGTTAGCAATTTGATATCTTTAAGCAAATCTTGAGTCTGAGTATGAGTTCTCGTGCAAACAGAAAACTTCTACTTAAAAACTCATCCGCTAAAGTTAGATGTGTGATGTGATCGAATTAGTCAAGATGAGGTTCTAGAACCGGGAGAGTGAAAAAATGAGAGGCAATAATCAAAATGTAGAATTTGAAGTTTGGACCAAAGTTGTTTTGTATTTGTGTATTTCTTTGGAAACGTGAAGGAGTTGGGAACTGACAACGTGTGGCACGTCTAGTTTTTGTTCTCTAGAAGCACTCCAATCCTTGCGCTCTAACAAAAAATACAGCCACCTTTCTAGATTAACAACAAATATCTGACGTGACTATCCTATTAAATTGGTTTTCCTTTCAGCTTATATATATATTTAGCATTCCTGGTTATATTGCTAAGAGATACCTCACTCGAGAGACAAAGGGGAACGGATAAAATCCAGGGTTTTATGCTTCTGCTATTGCTAGTGCTCTCTGTTTCTACATCCCCTGAGCGGCCTATGGCGGCACGTCCCGTTTCCAGCCAACGTAAGAATCTGCTCAGCTTTTATTTATTGCTGATTGTTTCCTTTTTTCAGTCGCGTGGGTTGTTTTCTTCTGTATATAATTTGCAGGACAATCGAAGATGTTTTCTGTTCTTGGAGTTGTTTGCAAATGTTGCAATGGAAGTGGCGGTGAATGCTCGGCTACTTGGACACAACCACCCTGCCCTCAGGCTCTGCTCAAGTGCCTGCCTTGGAAACTACATTAGCATTTTTACCCAACCTTTTTGTTTTATGTACATACCTACACTGATGGAATATGGATTCATATTCAAATTTTTGACCTGATGTCGTTGGAGCTTAAGGGCTAAGACCATTGGTTTTGGCAGCTTACAACATAGAATGACTTCTTGTTTCCTAGTTTTTGGTTTCTCAACCACACTAATTAATTAATGAAGTAGTTAATGAATGGTTGTGTTATCATTAGTATACTACCGTATATGCATTTTTGACTGGTAAAAAAAACAAGGACTTTGGCTTTGAATCATTCACAAGAAAATAATTGTTTCCATGAGCATGGACTTCTAATTAGGGGTGTTCAAAGTTTGGTTTTAACTGAATTAAACCGGTTGAATTGATTTTTTTTATTAATCGATCAATTAATTTTTGGTTCAATCAGTTAACAATTAAGACTTTTTTTTTAAAAATGATTATTTTAGCTCGAAATCGGTTAATTAACCAAAATTTTAAATATTTAATATATTATATACATGAATGATCTAATTACACCGTGTAAAACTCATTTAGTTTTATACTTTTTTAGGATAGTCTGAGATTAACAGTAGAAAATAAGAAGATATTCAGGAAAACAAAAAGCGAGTTAATCTCATCATTTGATTTCCCTCAATCCAACGATCCTAAAAATGTGTAAAACTAAGAGTTTTACACAATATAGGTGGATTGTAACTCTATTACATATATTATTTATATATTACTTAGTTCTATGAGTGTATAAATTTTGACTTTAACCGAATTAATAGGAAATATAAAATATATATTATTTATAAATTTTGATTAATTCAGTTAACTAACTGATTAACCGAACTTTATTCGGTTTGGTTAAAAAAATTAAAAAAAATTTATTCGATTAACGGTTAAGACGAAAAAAATTTCAATTAATGATTTTTTAGTAGATCGATTCAATCGGTTAATCGAATCGACCGATTGAACACTCCCTACTTCCAATCGGCAATTCTATATAAAATTGTGAGTTCAAGCCCAGTTAGACCCAAATTGTGACAATTTAGGGCTTAAGCTTATTTCGGACTGTCCAGCCCCACAAAATATGGAGAAAACTAGATACCTTCGTGTATTGGGCCCGTGTCTTGTAAGATTGAACCCATCTTATTTGGGTTTTCGGTTTCGTTTGATTAGTTTCAATTTTAATTTTGGGTACGTTTGATAGTATGAAAATAAATTAGGAAAAATATTTTCTTTGTTTTTCGGTATTCCATTGAGGTGACTAATTTTTCTAATGTAATTTTTAATCGTTCATCTGTCATGTTTGAGTTATCAATTTAATTTATCTATCATGTCATTTGTCAAATTATCAACCATCATGGACCGCCACGTCAGCACATGGACCATCACGTCAGTAAAGTGAATTATCACGTCAACAGTATAACGATCAACGACAAAAAACGTTAGTAAAAAAACTTTATCGAGTTTATTTTCCGAGCTGAATGATTACGTTAAGAGAGAAATAATACGAGAGAAACATTAACTTTTTAAAAAATATATAGGAATTTCTGATGCATTTTTATAGATAAAATTTTATTTTTTTAATTCAAACATCTTTCTAACTATAAAATGTATTTTTTGTTCAAACCCAGATTGAAGTGGACCCTTC